AAAAAAAAACTCAGTCTCGGAAATGTAGGTACATCGGACATTCACTTTGTCAAGTCGAATATCTTAATCTTAATCGACGTGTATCACATATTCGATTTGTGAAACTAATTTTCATATTTTTTCTTATAGGGTAAACCCGGGTAAGATGGCCACAGTTTTCTTTAAATGCAAAAAACAGACCTTTATTTTTGTTATTTTTTAATATTGTTTTTTTATTTTACTTCACTGAAGCTTAAAGTACACCGAAAAAATTGTATTCTTACTAAACTAATAATATCTGAATATAAAGACGTTAAGAGCCGTTCACAGGATGTTGTGCGTGAATGTGCTATATATATATGTGCGTGTATGCACATATAAACGAATTCACGTTTTCACGTGTTTTTTTAATTGAAATTTCAATTCATAAAATTGATTGTATTCTTGTTTTGAGAAGAGATATCCCACTTACTTTAAGTATATTTTATACTAAAATAGGCGCCAAGAAGAGTTTCTTATTTTAAGAGGAAAATCCTCTAAATAGTAACATTGATAAGAATACATACTGATTAGAATATAAAAAGCCTCTATAGAAAAACATATATATCTCACTATCGAAAAAGACTATATTCTTAAATAAAGAATATATTCTTAATTTCAGAAAAATATCATCTAAAATCTTTAAGATTTTTGAAGTATAAAATCTTCTACTTCTACGAAAATATAATTTTTTCAGTGTAATAATAACTATTGAAATTAAAGAGAAAACACTTAACAGAAATTTAATATTATATAAAATATTAAAATGTACGCATTGGCCATCAACTTTTAAGGGAAAGATGGCCATACATGTTTTTTTTGTAAAAGATATAAGTAAAACTTATAATTATGTAATTTAATTATATATTGTATTTAGTTATTGTACGTAAAAGATTATTACATATTGTTGTTAATGTTTTCATGCACAGTATTTTTTTAATTATGAAACGCAACTTTATGTGAAGTATAAAAATAATTAGTAAAAAAAAACATTTTTATTTCGATGATTAAATACATTGTAGATATTATACTAGTCATAAAAAAAAAATATATATATAAGTATATGTAACTTTTTTTAAAAAAATGGGCCATCTTTCCCGAAGTGTGAGGAAAAGATAACATAGTATTTATAAATAAATAATAAAAATGAAAATAAAAAAAAATTATTGGTTACATTATAATTTATGTATGTAATATTGATTACGGCAGTTTAATTGTAATTTATTCGACGTTACAGTAGCTTTTACGTGGACATACTTAAAACTTTGCAGGCAATCGAAAGTAAAAACATTTATATAATTTTCACAATATTGTTATTTTAAATAGTGTACGCACATAAACCACTGTAAATACTGATTATCTTTAAGAATGGTTACAAAAATGCACTATTAAACAATTATTGTTGAAATTACAGTCTATGGCCATCTTTTCCCAGGTCATAGACTAATATCCCCATTTACCCTGCAAGTTTTCTTGTTTTACAAAAAATTGCGTTTTAAATGTTGTCTCTTCTGTTGTGCGAATTTGTTGCTGCTGTTGAGAGATTTTTCCATTAATCTCGCTCTACAATCTTTCAATATCGACACGTCACTGTTAAGTCGATCAATTTTTGCTCGACTTATTTTTATCTTTCTCTCCGACAAATATTTTAGATTATCGCGATGTGTGGTGGAAATCCGATAGACATTTACCGACTTTGGTGCAAAGTTTCGCGCGCCATGTCGAAGTTTATTCGAAACGATACCGCTCGAGAGAAGGAGCGCAAGATTTCTGTGGGATTAATCGAAGGTATTCGTTCGGAGGCAGGAAGAGAGGAAAACCGATCGTGTCGTGGTAAATTTTCGGCGGTAGCCGTTGAAGCAACCGAAAGGAAATTAATTGCCCAAGTTCGCCTCCGATTTTCCTCGGATCGTTAAAGAGCCGTTCCCGCCCGTTAATTGAACCGAAAGGCGATTTTTTACGGTCAGATCTTAATTGCGATTTTAGATTAATCCCCGTTATTAACGATCTCGCGCACGACGGAAAGCGTCGCGCGAGAATTAGCTTTAACCGCGCGATGTTGGAAAGGCCACAACGAATTTATATTCGTTAAGTTCGCAGAGAAGATCGGATCATCCGTCGATACACTTCCGAATGCCCGAGTCGAAATTTAGCGTCTACATTGAACCTCAATTTTTCTTTTTTTATGTAGAAGTAAGAGAGAAAGCAGATGATCCTACTTTGACGCTGCTATACGTCCGAGAAATTTCCTTTTTTCCTGCTAAAGTTTTAAAGTAGGGTTTAATTCTCAGATCAGACTGCGCATTGCAGGCTCTGACAGGCTCAAAATAGGCTCTGATAGGCTCAAAGTAGGAGTAAGAAAAAAAGTAGATGCTACTTTGACGCTGCTATACGTCCGAGAAATTTCTTTTTTTCCCTCTAAAGTTTTAAAGTAGGGTTTAATTCTCAGATCAGACTGCGCATTGCAGGCTCTGACAGGCTCAAAATAGGCTCTGATAGGCTCAAAGTGGGAGTAAGAAAAAAGTAGATGCTACTTTGACGCTGCTGTACGTCCGAAATTTCCTTTTTTCCTGCTAAAGTTTTAAAGTAGGATTCGATTCTCAGATCAGACTGCGCATTGCAGGCTCTGATAGGCTCAAAATAGGCTCTGATAGGCTCAAAGTAGGAGTAAGAAAAAAAGTAGATGCTACTTTGACGCTGCTATACGTCCGAGAAATTTCCTTTTTTCAAAAATTGAGGTTCAATGTAGACGCTAAATTTCGACTCGGGTGGTGTCTCATTGAATGGAAAAAATTTCGCTCGTGTAATTACTTTCGATGATGAGATATACACGTATACAACGGAGAGATAATTAATTTGTACATTAATATATATAATAACGCGATGAATGTACGAGATTTAGTTTTACACTGACGGCGTTTGCACACTTTCCTGAAGTCGTAGATTTTATCACGTTTGTTAAAATATACACAAAACAAGAATACACGTTGCACACAAATGTATTACATCGCAAACTCGTGTAAGAGTCTGTGTGTTTAACTAAAAACGCGAAGTCTTGACAAAATCGATTAATTGCAATTAGGCGCGGCGCACTGCTGCCGTTTGATTTATGACCGAGTTACGTGTACGTAGCACGCTATAAATTAATAATCTCTGGTTGCCGCGAACAAAAACAGGCCGCGGAGAATACGGCGAGAGCATTTAATTGCAATATTGGTGAACGGCCAATCGCGTGCGAATCTGAAAGCGGTAGCCGCTTAAATTTAAATCAGACTGTGAATTAACGTGACTTTAAATTAGTTATAATTGTCGATGATTCTGTGCGAGAGTCCTACGTGCGAACATTTAATTGCAATTTCGGGGCGGGTTTACCGCGGCTTCAAGGTGACACGCGATTCCCTCATTTCGCGCGAATTTAGTTTTCGTTTCGCGAGCTGAAACGAAATTTGACGGGAGGATCAAGCACGTTAAGCTCGGCTAATTGCCGTGTTTTGTATATGTTTCGAAAAAACTAGAAAAAAAAATTTGAATTAAATTTACAACGCAAGCTATTCAAGTTTTTTTTTGTTTTTCACTTGTTGATAAAGAACAAATATAATATCTAGAAAATCTATGATTAAGGTCAATATCGAGCATTAAAAACAGATGTAAAAAATATATATTTAAAAATACTGCTGACTTGTAAGCTTCTTTCAATTTTGTGTATTTTACTGTGAGGTTCTGTACATATATTCACTTTGACAATCTTTCAGATTATTTTATGATGTGACATAACATTCTTCTAACACAAGGTACGCGCATCCACCTACATAAGACTTCAAGACAACCATTTTTTAAATTATTTTTTGTACCAAGCGACTGAAGATGACATCCGTGCATGTCGAAACGTTTCGCACCAAACATATACTGTGTATCTACTTTTGTTAATGAATTTTTAATATATATTTTTTACATCTGTTTTTAATGCTCGATATTGACCTTAAGAGGGTACTGGAGCCTGGCTTGTAAACTGGATAGATACCTGTAAACCGACGTTTTTATAACCTAAATTTCTTTATTTTTTAATTTTATTTACTGCACAACATTAAAAGCGCTTCTACAGAAGCAAATAAATATACAAAACTATATAAAGCTTTTGAAAATGGGTATATAATGCTTTTTTGAACTTGTTTTTCATTCATAATGATAGTATATGATATCAAATACACATCATCACAATATTACTTTTTGTGCATCAATTAGACAACCAAATCATATTCTGAGTGTTTCATTAGATTGTTTTGTGTCGTACGTATTGCTGTAGTTCAGTGTAAATACGTACATAAGCTTAGAAATAATTTTATATACATGAATATATGGTGAGGTTATAGAAGAAAACTGTATAAGAAAAAATTTATGCTGAATTTTGACATTNCAAAGAACAACAGCAAACTCTTAGCATAATTTACTTATTTCTGTAAAAGCATTTTGGATTTGATGCAGTAAATACGGCACAAAACGAAATATTAAAACGTCGATTTACAAGTCTCTATAGTCGGTATCCAGTACCCTCTTAATCATAGATTTTCTTTGTTTTTACAACACGAGCGAACTATATTTTATCTTATAAATCTGGATTTCTAATGAGATAATAAAGATCTTGAAATTATATTTGAAATATTTCTCTGTACAAGTCTATGATGTGTAATTAAGACATTTAAAATCACACGAAAAATAAGCCGGCGATTGTTTTTGATCAGTAACCTCGCAACGAACGTTTTTTTTCTAAGAAGTTTACAACATTTATTTTTGTAAAATAATAAGAAAATAAATGCGTCAACCTTGCAGACGATTAACGCAATTAAGCAAAATTGCGTGTTTGATATTGAACGCAGAAAAACAAGTTTTTTGTGCGTTCAAATCCGTGATTTGATTGGACGAACTTTTCGGACGAAACAATAAATTGAGCGAACTCTTGTTATTACCGTTATTATTGAACTTACCTGCGCTGCGACCATGCCCTCTCTCAATCTCCTGAGATCTGTATGGCTCCAGGCGCTTCGTGACCAGGGATGAGTGTCCCTTAGGTCATCAAAGCTGAACTCCCTCAGCTGGTTCTTCAGGAACTTCCGTATGTTCCAGGGTAGGTCGTTGTGCCTGAGGAAAAAAAAAGACATTATTAATTAATATATATATTGTTACACGCGATTCGCGATCTCACAATTTCCGCTACACGGACAAAAAAATGACGTTGAATCAACAGTATCAGTTTAATTGATATATATCCCGTTGATGCAACATCAATATTGTTGCACTACACACAGCAGATAGTTTGCTTTAAGAATCTAGACATTAAATTAATCGCACACGCAATTGAATGAACTATTTAATTTTGTGGCAGCCCGTGACGTCAACTTTAATTGAAGCAACTCCATTTTTTTTTCTGTGTAGATAATCAAGAAGTTTTAATAAACATACGTTTGATTAATGATTCAATTTTAATTCAAACGAGATATTTTAAATAATCGGATCTTCTCTTTTCGCGACTTTGCCCGTACAGTTCCCGATTCCCCACGTTGAATCTCTCGCTTAACTTCGGAATCAACAACGCGTAGCCAGCCACTCTCGACAAACAGTTGCTCCTCTTGTCGATCGATCAAACTGACCAGCGGATTACCTAACCTCATCGTTGTAAGATGCATTCCGCAACAATATTATATAATACTAGCGGGGAAGTGGCCACAATTCGAGGCAATAACCAGATCTTCGGGTCAGTGAACTTCTTTATTTTTGTATAGTTTTTAACAAATGTTTCGTACTGAGAATGCGTCTGTCGTTAGACAACATCGAATCGATACGGATCATACATTTAACATTGGCAAAGTACCAAAATTTTAGACTCGGAAAAATCAATTTACAAAAGGTCCGAAATGATTCCATATCAAAATAGAAGATCATTCAGTTAATGTTATGTCGGACACGGATAAACTAAAACCTTAAGTATAGAAAAATAATATAACAAGGTCTGTTTTCGAGCTTTAATGGATCTTAAAGATTTATTTATAAACAAAACGCAATTTAAATTTAGAATTACAAAAGACAAACGTTTCGGCCCTTACTTGAGCCCTCTTCAGTGTACAAAAGTAAATATAAATATAAGTAAACATGTCATATCAAAAGGTTCGCAAAAGTAGATAAAAATTAAAAGAAAAGATGATAGATCTTACGTTAGAAGTCCATAGTTGGTTGTATATGTTTGACTTCCTGAAAAGGTCGCGTAGTAAATAGTCACACACAATATTAAAATTAAAGTTAAAACTAAAAATAAAACTAAAAATAAAATTTAGAATTACAAAAGACAAACGTTTCGGCTCTTACTTGAACCCTCTTCAGTGTACTTTTGTAACTCTAACGTTTGTCTTTTGTAATTCTAAATTTTATTTGCGTTTTGTTTATAAATAAATCTTTAAGATCCATTAAAGCTCGAAAACAGACCTTGTTATATTATTTTTCTATACTTATTGTTAATATTGCGAGCGAATTGTATAATTAACATATATTTTAACTAAAACCTTATTTCTCGTTTTTCGGAGTTGTATAAAAGCGACATAAGCATTCTTGCGACGTTTACGCATGATCAGGGTTGGGCGCGTATTTTATACATGAGATATTATACATTGTATTTTATACAAAACAAATGTTTGTATAATTGTTAGCTGCGTTATAGTGCCCAATTTTGATGCGAACATAACTATAACGCAGCTAACAATTATACAAACATTTGTTTTGTATAAAATACAATGTACAATATCTCATGTATAATACGTGCCCAACCCTACGCATGATACGTCGGTGGGGGAATGTTTTTCGGAATAGGATGTAGCTCAGTCTGTCGGTGGACTGATGGACTGAGTTCTTCCTACACCTACGAACCTTCCTGTAAGTTTTCAAAAACCTTGTAATTATGCGTTATTTACTCCTTGCGTTAGTTCTGTTTAATATATTTGTATATTGTCACATGTAGTACACTGAAGAAGACCCAAATTAAGGGTCGAAACGTTTGTTAAAAACTATACAAAAATAAAGAAGTTTTTATTGATCCGAAGATCTGAATATTGCCTCGAATTGGAACTAGTTCCCTACTAGTATAATATTTCACGAAAAAGAATACAAAAATATTATACAAGTAACGCGTGTTAACCGTGAAACTTTTTTCGCGCCGTCCTTTAAAAAAAAAATTCTTAAAGCCAGAATATATTAAAAATCATAACATGCGCATCCGATGTGAAATACTCGGGTAAATTTTATTCCGGTGGAACGCACTTTTCTTTTACGCGCGAATGTATATTCCGCGCGCTCGAAATTCAAACATTTCTTCTGCAAACAGTTGTGCGCACACAACTGTATGTTACTCGAAGCATCGCTGCGTGAGGAAATTTTTAAAATAGCTAACTTGCGGTTTTGACAATTTTAAAATCGCAAAATTTTTACTTTAAGAGCGTTAAAGAGATCGAGTGTAATTTTTATTTTTTGTTTCAACAATACGTAGGTTTTTGTTGATTTGCTTTTTTTTGTTTTTGTTGTTTTTATCTCTTACTTGAGCTCGCACAGTCTTTTAATTCTTTTTTTTTTAACATTGATCAGGCGCTTGAAAAGAGAATGTTTAATGTCTTGTAATTTCATTCCACACCGTGGCCGAAGAAACTCGAGATAACCAAAGTTTTGGCCCTTTACAACAGCATTACCTGATGTACAACTTGCGGCGGACTCTCAGTATAGTTGTCTCAAAACTTATTTTCCGCAAAGTTACCAAGGGATGTTCCGCATGTGAAAGCAAGAAGTGTGTCGGTATTCTTGGCGAGATGTGAAGTTTATTTGTTCACGTAAAATATCTATTTTTTCTCCTCTCTTCTTGCTTTCGAGATGAGAATTAATTAATTTTTTTTTTTTTTTTTTTACTAAAAAATTAAAAAAGTTCCGCTCGCAGTGTAGTATGATTCTTATAATTCTTTTATTAGCGACGGACATTCGTAAGCGTTATGAAAAAATCGAGACAATTATTTTGTATGAGACGCGAAGAGTTTTGACAGCTTTGTCTTGGCAAAATGTCAAACATTCTTCGTATTTTCGGAATTTGCTCTAATTGCAAGTCGGCAGGTTACGGCATAGTTTAACGTAAAGGAATTTCCGGTACACTCGATGCGCATCCGCAACGAAGAGGTACTCGCCGGACACGTGCACGTGCACGTGTGTGTGTGTGTGTGTGTGTGTGTGTGCGCGCGCGCGCGCGCGCGTGTGTGCATTGTTACTTCAACAAATCTGACTCGAATCAACGATGGATCTGCCGTCCGTTTGTAACTAACCGCACTGTGCCGTTCTCCGAATGCACTTTGCATGCGGCGCAATAGGTGTGCCTAACTTCTAGGAGAATTAGATAACCAAACGAGCATTCGCGAGCCACGGCATTCGCACAGCGCTTCGCCGGCGAAGTAATAGTTCGATCATTTTCCGAGTATACGGTAGTAGTCTCTGCAAACGTCTCTCTGCACCCTGATTTAAATATCAAACGCGCCCGTTTTCTATCTGAAACATCATCCGTTTCTGCTTGCGAATAGTTTCATCGGGCGACGTACGTACGTGCGAGCATAGAAATCGCACGAGATTCGCGTGTTTTCACGTGTTTGTCTCTCTCTCTCTCTCGCTCGAGAGAATCGGCGCTTCGTGAATTAACATTCACTCAACGCTATTCACATTTCTTGTATCGCGTATCCTGAACAAGTTTTTTTTCAATCCACGCGGGAGAGTAAAAAAACGTTAAACCAAAAATGAAAATGAACTTTACGGCCCGTAGTAGCGAAAATAAATTAAGTAGTAGGCCGTTGCGAACAAGCCGTCTGCAAATACGCGTGTACTCTGGTTGGCTAAACAGATACAATGAGACTTCCTGTGTGCATAGAGAACACCGAGAGAGAGAGAGTCCTTTTGTCCGTTGGATCGTCCGGGACAGGATAGTGTGACCAAACGCCGGTAAAGCCCTTTGTTTCATGTGGGTTACCGCTCACGCGCAGCCTCGAGACACCGAGAGAAATGCGCGGCGCGAACATCCGTAAAATGTACTTGAACAAAGCGCGCGAGTGCGCGTGCGCGCGCGCGCGCGAAATTTCACGTATATTATATATAATATAACCATTCCCGAGTTCCGCATATAATTAATCTTGTAATCGACACTGCGTCTCTGCGCGCGCGGTGATTTATCCCCGGTCTCTCGCGTATTATATCCGCGAAGGATTTCGTGAGACGACGACGACGACGACGACGACGACGACGACGACGACGATGTGTAATCGTCATTTGGCTCAAGTACCTAGTCGCTATCCCGAGAACCCGGCCATTTATTTAACAACACACAAGGAAATTTTTAGTAATTCACAAAAGTGTTCGTGGAATTAATTCTGGCCAAAGGCCAGATACGTGTTTGCATTCGTCGATAACGGAACAGGTTTCGTGAAAATCAGCGCACTTTATTCGTTTTCAGCCGCGAAGATTTATTTTCTCGCGAAGGTGGAGGAGGAAAATTAAATACGAGAAGAGAGTAGAGGGCCTAAAAGGAAAGGAAAAGGTAATAGGGGAGGAGGTTTAAGTTAAGGGTTAGGGTTACTTATGTAAGACAGTTCGCCAGAAATTCGCCCCCCCCCTTAATTTATGCGCTTCTGCCGCGCGGTGAAATAAATTCACGTCGCGCGTGTCTACGTAGTGTTCACGCGATTACACATTCATGAACCCTAATTATCATAACAAATTATCTAACAATCATGATCTCTCATGATTGCAGATTCTGAATATAGTTTTAATTGAATTTTGAAATGTACTGGAAGGAACGGGGGGGAAGCGATTATAACGTCTGATTTACGACAACTTTGTGCTGTTCGACGAAAACGCGCGTAGAGCGCGATAATGATTATGATGGTATTTTCGCGCGTGCTATTAAAGTACGTTTTCGTTAACTCCTCATGCATATTCACGAAACTCAAGGCGTTTCGTCTAAGTTTAGCAAGATATATTTGACATTAATTTCAGTTTGTACATTGCGTGGCGCAAAAACTTTTTTTTTGCGCTTTTACAAAAATATACAAAAATCTCGTACACCGAAAAAATTG